TTTATAACATTGGAAGTACTGGGAATTATTGTTTAAAACACTGGAAGTACTGGGAATTATTGTTTATAACATTGGAAGTACTGGGAATTATTGTTTATAACATAGGAAGTACTGGAAATTATTGTTTATAACATAGGAAGTACTGGGAATTATTGTTTATAACATAGGAAGTACTGGGAATTATTGTTTGTAACATAGGAAGTACTGGGAATTATTGTTTATAACATAGGAAGTACTGGGAATTATTGTTTATAACATAGGAAGTACTGGGAATTATTGTTTATAACATAGGAAGTACTGGGAATTATTGTTTATAACATAGGAAGTACTGGGAGTTATTGTTTGTAACATAGGAAGTACTGGGAGTTATTGTTTGTAACATTGGAAGTACTGGGAATTATTGTTTGTAACATGGAAGTACTGGGAGTTATTGTTTGTAACATAGGAAGTACTGGGAGTTATTGTTTGTAACATTGGAAGTACTGGGAGTTATTGTTTCTAACATTGGAAGTACTGGGAATTATTGTTTATAACATTGGAAGTACTGGGAATTATTGTTTATAACATTGGAAGTACTGGGAATTGTTGTTTCTAACATTGGAAGTACTGGGAAATTATTGTTTATAACATTGGAAGTACTGGGAATTATTGTTTATAACATTGGAAGTACTGGGAATTATTGTTTATAACATTGGAAGTACTGGGAGTTATTGTTTGTAACATTGAAAGTACTGGGAATTATTGTTTGTAACATTGGAAGTACTGGGAATTATTGTTTATAACATTAGAAGTACTAAGAATTATTGTTTATAACATTGGAAGTACTGGGAGTTATTGTTTATAACATTGGAAGTACTGGGAATTATTGTTTATAACATAGGAAGTACTGGGAGTTATTATTTGTAACATGGGAAGTACTGGGAATTATTGTTTATAACATTGAAAGTACTGGGAATTATTGTTTGTAATACTGGAAGTACTAAGAATTATTGTTTGTAACATTGAAAGTACTGGGAATTGTTGTTTCTAACATTGGAAGTACTGGGAGTTATTGTTTGTAACATTGGAAGTACTGGGAATTATTGTTTATAACATTGGAAGTACTGGGAGTTATTGTTTGTAACATGGGATGTACTGGGAATTATTGTTTGTAACATTGGAAGAACTGGAAATTATTGTTTATAACATTGGAAGTACTAAGAATTATTGTTTGTAACATTGAAAGTACTGGGAGTTATTGTTTGTAACATTGGAAGCACTGGGAATTGTTGTTTGTAACATTGGAAGTACTGGGAATTATTGTTTGTAACATAGGAACTACTGGGAGTTCTTGTTTCTAACATTGGAGTACTGGGA